GAAAGAAAAGAAGGACTTATCCTTCTTGTATGTGTTTTCTGTGACATAGGGCTGAGACAGCTAATATAGGAGTAGTGAAACATATTTTCAGTTTAAAACAGGGAACCCCTGGGTTATAACTTTAAAAGCAGCTCAACTTAAATGGCCACATTACTCATTTATGAACTCTGTCTGTTATATCCTGACAGAATAGCTTGGTAATGTTAACTAGTGACTCTGCTGTGAGATGAGTTCTCATTTTTCTGTGTTTTAAAATACTGATGTGTTTTGTGTCAGGTGTTGAGATTTAATTTGGTTATTGTTACAAGAACATTATGACCTTTGCATGGATAATGGAAATGCTGTCTTACATTGCATCTGGAAGCCCTTTCTAATCCATGTTTAAATTTAACCTATCAAAGTTTGTTGGAGTAGAAACCCCAAAGATTTGGTCCATTAATACTCTTAAAAGGTGGAAAAAAAATCAATTGGTTTTAATGGATTTAATGCTGCTAACTGTCATCTGTCATCAAAATCTGGGATTTTTATGTCTCAAACAGAAGTAGTTAAATGGAGAACCTTCCAAATGTTACACTTTGATGTATGAAATTATTTCTGTTTTAAAGCAGGCGTAATTTTAGTCTATTAATTAACACTTGGTGTATGTTGGATGCTGTTAGGAAATAATGATCAAAAATGCATACTAGTTGAGATAAATTCTAAGTTTAACAAAAACCCTGGATGAGGGTCGGTTTTCATGAGAGGTTGCTTTGGGCATTGAGCTAATCTTGAAGTTCCTTTTCAGAAAGTTCAAATCCTGTTTTCCACCTAGGTGGTCCTCGCCAGCTGGTACCGCATATATACTGGCATTATGGATTTCCTTGGTGTATCAACAAAGACATGTTGGACTGTAAACAGAGGAAAAGGGCTTAGTCCTGTTGAAAGCTGTGAGGGTGAGTTGTGTTTTATTTGAGTTTCTTCCCGGAAGCTTATAATTGTGGTTTTACGTATTTCAGAAGTAATAAATTTTCCTGTGTCTTTATCACTGACATGCTTTAATTTGGCTAAGGCAGATTCACAGCATAAAAAAAGATAGTTTTAAGAACACCAGGGGTGAGAATGTGGGCTTTGCTTTTAAGATAGCTTCTCCTACCTAGGTTTAATTCTTATACTGCACTTCAAAACTTGATAGTTGTAGTATGAGCCTTCATAATGTGACTGTTACAAAGAATAAGATGTCCTAAATGTAATTGGAGGCCACTGTACATGTATTACATTTTTTTGGCTTCTGTAGAATCCTCAATACATTCCAAGTTCCTACATGTCAAAAAATTACCTTCTGTATTTCCTCCTCTAACCACAATTTGTAGAGTAGCAAGGGAGGGGAAAAAGGCAACCACAAGGCTCCCTTTTGGAGAAATCTTGTGTAGTGATTCTACTGGGAATAATCTTCTTGTGACCTACTATTCAGCATGAGAATTTCAATCTTATACCTTGATTTTGTTACTGAAGCTTGGACACTCACTTTTTTTTTTCCCCTCACATTTAACATTGGCTTGTCAAGTAAGTATTATGAGATAAAAGTACCTTGCTGAGAAGCACTTTTGAGATGTTCTACAGTTGCTTAAAGCTGAATGATAGATGGTAGCTTGTGAAGTTGTTTCATTTTATCATTTAAAATGTCTTTGTGTGTTGACAAGTTGGTATTTTTCCTTTGCACAAAGGCTATAAGAACTTTAGAGCTTGAATGATTCACACTAATTTTGTCAGAAGCCATAAACAGTTAATAAATGTTTACATTTTCGTTCCTGTTTTTTGTGAAAACCAAGTCAGACCAACAAAATACTAACTATTGAGACTACCATGTTTGATGAGTCATATCATCATCTCTAGAGAACTGTCTTGCTGTATTTTCAGCAGTGGTGAATAATCATTTCTACTTATGAAACTATGAAGTTTTGCTGCCTTCTCTAGAATGAATAACGCTTTTTATGCTGTATTGCTGAAATTATTAGAGCCAGGAGGATTTAAAGAAATAATGTAGAAAAGAATAACAACAGAAGTGTGAACACAGAAGCATTTGTGAATTAATAAATTGAAAGACTTGCATTATTGGAAAACCTCTTGGTTTCTAATGAAACAAAGAAAGCAGAGTGTTATGTGTGATGTGTTTAAAGATGGATTTACTCCTGCAAGAGATGGGAAGTGAGAGTATAGGGAGTACATGCCTGTTCTAAAAACCTCTGTGAAGTCAAAATATAGTCTGTAGAGACTTTGTTGTTGTTATCTCTTTCTGTAGATGTATTAAGGTGGTACGCTGTGTGCTGTATTATACTGATTGTATGGTGGTTTATATGCAATATAATCTTTCTTCTGTATTTGATAACATGTGTTAAGTGTTTGTTTTTTTAGGGTTGGGAGACCCTGCTTCCTTTTATGTTGCGATGATTTTTCTTTTGAATGGATTAATGATGTCACTATTCTTCATATATGGTACATACCTCAGGTAAGGCAGTTGAGACTGAGCTATTTAGTTGGTACCAGCTGTCAAGTTTTCATAAGAAATTTGAAAAAGTGAATGCTAAAATATTTTTATGGGATATTGCTTATTGGTTTTTACTGTAGTGCTTTTTATTACATATATGTTGTCACTAAAAAATTACTGGAACAGAGAAGCTTTTTGCTTAAAATTAATGATGCCAGAAAAAGCTATGGAAAATTTCAGTGAAGTGATACCTCATTGATACCACCAGGCTGTGGATAAAACAAAATGCTGTACAGCTTTTAAATGGCTTTTGACAGGTTTCTGCTCAGTGTAACTAATTTTTAAAACAAAGTTTGAATGACAATAATTAAGGAGGTGGAGCATCTCCCTTATGAGGAGTGGCAGAGGGAGCTGGGGTTGTTTAGCTTGGAGAAGAGGAGGCTGAGGGGGGACCCCATGAATGTTTATACATATGTAAAGGGCGAGTGTCAGGGGGACAGAGCCAGGCTCTTCTCAGTGATGTCCAATGACAGGACAAAGGGCGATAGGTGTGAGCTGGATCTATAGGAGGTTCCATGTGAACATGAGGAAAAACTTTTTCACTGTGAGCGTGACAGAGCACTGGAACAGGCTGCCCAGAGAGGTTGTGGAGTCTCCTTCTCTGGAGACATTCAAAACCCGCCTGGACGCCTTCCTGTGTGACCTAGTTTAGGTGATCCTGCTCTGGCAGGGGAGTTGGACTGGATGATCTTTCGAGGTCCATTTCAACTCGTAACATCCTGTGATTCTGTGGCAGTGTATTTTAAACCAAGATTGGAGATTTCCAATGCTTTGCCTGAAGTTATATCGCATGTCTTTCAATTTTAACTGAGAAGACAAAATAATTTTTTAAGACAGTGCATTCTTTTGGAAATATGTATATGGTTCTCTTTTTCTATGAATTTCTGTTTCCAGTATCTGCCCTTGAATTTTGGGAACTGTAATACACTTTCATACAAAAATAGAGTCCACATTTAGCCGAAAAGCAGAAGTGGAAGTATTTTTCTGTTTACCTCTATTTTCATTTGTCAGTTTTGCAAAAAACTAAAAGGCAGCTATATTTTGCTCTGAGAGATGTGGCTGATTTCACTCTCATTTCCTGGCTTCACTGTCTTGGTTTACTTTTTTTCCTGCACTCTCTGAAGCATGTGCTGATACTTCAAATATAAAGTGCAGGGCAGGAGGAGACAGTGAAAAAACTATGTTGCCTAGTACAACTATTAGGTGTTTGAGGGTAAAGCATGTATGTCTGTATTCCTTAACATGGGAAATTAATGACACATGCTTTGAGGAAGTAGATAAACTTTGAGTATTCATATAATTAACTTGTCATTTTTCTCTTAAGGGAGGTGTATGGAAGCGTACATTTTATATATTATATATATTAATGTAATTGAAAAATTAGTAAGGTCTTAATTTCTCAGTACTTCCTTTAGACTTGGGCTGAATTGAATGTAAATAATTCAATTGATGGTCAATTGATTGACTCATTTGATGGTCAAAACCATCTCAGGCTTACATAATTGTTTTTTCTAGTTTTATTTTGTCTCTGTATAATTTCAGAGAATGTGTAATGTTTTTATTTCACCATTTATTTGCTTTTAGTCTCTGCAGCTTTGACTAGTGATAGATGGTGATAGGATAGTGGAAGACCACTTTCTTATCATTATTTTCCAAGCTACCATGTGTTCTTGCATTTGTACTCACTATACTCTATAACAAACTTGTTCAAAGAGTTAAGCTAGCAGAAATCTAGTTGCTTTTGTAGGACTACTGGGTACTGGGACTGGTACTCTTTAACATCTTTGTTTGCAACATGGGCAGTGGGATCGAGTGTACCCTCAGCAAGTTTGCGGATGACTCCAAGCTGTGTAGTGTGATTGACACACTGGAAGGAAGGGATGCCATCCAGAGGGACCTGGACAGGCTGGAGAGGTGGGCCCATGCCAGCCTTATGGAGTTCAATAAGGTGAAGTGCAAAGTCCTGCATCTGGGTAGGGGCAATCCTAAGCACAAATACAGGCTGGGCGGAGAATGTCTCAAGAGTAGCCCCAAGGAGAAGGACTTGGGGGTGTTAGTCAACTAAAATCTTAAAATGGGTAGGCAATGCGTGCTTGCCGCCCAGAAGACCAACTGCATTCTGGGCTGCATCAAAAGACACATGGCCAGCAGATTGAGGGAGATGATTCTGCCCCTCTACTCTGCTCTCGTGAGACCACCATGTGGGGTACTGCATCCAGTTCTGGAGCCCCAAATAAAAAGAGGACATCGAGCTGTTGGAGTGCACCTCTCCTATGAGGAACGGCTAAAAGCTGAACAGCTGTTCAGCGTGGGGAAAAGAAAGCTCTGGGGAGACCTTATTGCGGCCTTCCAGTTCCTGAAGGGGTTCTACAGGAAAGCTGGGGAGGCACTTTTTACAAGGGCAGGTGGCAACAGAATAAGGGGGAGTGGTTTTAAACTAGAAGAGGGTAGATTTAGACTGGATATTAGGAAGAAATTCTTTACGGTGAGGGTGGTGAGACACTGGCACAGGTTGCCCAGGGAAGTTGTGAATGCCCCCTACCTGGAAGTGTTCAAGGCCAGGTTGGACAGGGATTTGAGCAACCTGGTCTGGTGGGTGGTGTCCCTGCCCATGGCAGGGGGATTGGAACTAGATGATCTTTAAGGTCACTTCCAACCTAAACCATTCTATGATTCTAAGACTATTTTTTTGCTGTAGCTCCCTTAACCAACATACCCACAAGGTTAGAAGATTGCCAGACATAGTATGTCCCTGCCCTAGCCCTCTGTGTATGATCTCTGGTTATGCAAATACATGGCAGTCTTCTTATATAATTCAAGTTAGTCTCAAGCTCTAGAGAACTCTCTGTTAAGATAACTGAAGCAATATAGTGAGAACTCATGCTATTTTTTTAGGGTTTTTAAATGGACAAAGAAATGACGTTTGGATTAAAAGTACTTTATGCAATTGTAAGATTCTGCCTCCCTGCAGCCTTCTTCACCTCTCTATTCTTGTAGTCAAGGAACAGAATACTTAAGCTGATTGTCAAACACTGCGTCTCTAGGAACTACTGGTAAATTTCCTGTATCTCCTTCTGACAGTACCTTTTCATTGTTTTGTTTCTTGCATGTTAATCAGCAATGAATTACAGCATTTCCCCAGACGACTTCAAGCTTCAGCCTATTGTACCCAGGGAGTCAAAAGAGTAGTGCTTTTGTTATTCCAGAGCTGACTCTACCAGACTAAGTGTAACTGTTTAGATCATCTGCTGTTCTTAAAAAAATTACTAATTATTTGTTAAGTTTCGATTATTCTAAATTTAACATGGAGAAATTGGGTTCCAACTGAAGGGCAGGTACTTCATCAATTGTATTATGGTATGGGAGTTTCAGTGGAAAGAGTTATCCTTTATCTTTTGTATCGGCATAGAAAGGCTTAACAACTGTATCTCTTAAATGATTGCTTTGTACTGTTAGAAGGTAACCAGTCTAAATCAACAATACTGTTCTGGTTTACTGGGACAGAATTTTAAAGTCGGCTTTCTGTTGAGGAAAACTGTGATTTTTTTTGTAAGGGCTTCAACACTCTGACAAAGTTTTATCACTTTGTTGCCATGAAATACAGCTTTTCAGCTAAAGCTGGTATGTGATTCTCAAGGTCTTCAGTGATCTTCATATAAACAGGTGCAGAGGCTGTGGTAAGTGGAAGCTCAAGGGAGTTGACCCCAGGGTGACCCCAGGCTGACCAACTAGTACTATTCCATACCACAAATGTCACATTCACTATACATTTGAGGGTTTATACCTTCTACTTCCTGCTTCTTCTTCCCTCTTCCATGGCTGGCATCTTTAGAGAGACTTGTTTGCTGTCCTAGCCCTGAGGCCTACTTCCCCACAATATTGCCTGAGTATAACTCTGTGTACTTTATATTATAACTGTTATAAATCTTAGATTTTTATTACTATTATTTTATTAAATATATTTCTATTTCAACTCATGAATCTCCTTTCCTTCTCCTGACCACCTCCCTGGATGGGGAGGAGTCATCATGTGGAAGAGTAACTGTATAAGCTACAACAACTGTACATAATCCTCTGAAGTAAGCTCTATTCACTTCCTTTTCTGGAAAAGATACTGACAAGGTGCATTTCCCTATTCTGTGCTACAGATTTAGTGGTCTTTCCTCATGTGGTAAAACAGTGATTCCTTATAGAGGCTGATAGCTCTAAAGCATTCATAATACAAGTAAGACCTTTGTATTCTAGACTTCAAGGTTTTATCACAATGTTAACCTTTAGTATAGACCTTGAATTTTGTTTCTGACTTTGGGTGGTTTTGGTTTTGTTTTTCCTTTTTGTTTTTTTCTTTTCTAAATGTTTGGTTTGCTTTATTGCTAGGACTCACATTTTTTAATATTAAGCACATTCTTTTAGTCATTCTGGGTTTCAGCATTGATGCTTTTAGAATTTGTGAAGTTAAAGGTTGAGTTTTATATGCAAGAATGCACAAATCCTGGAGATTGGTTTGGCATTCAGTTGGTATCTTTAATTCTCAGACTTCGTAGCCAGAACTCACTGATTCTGTTTGACTTCTGTATTAGTGATGGGTGAAGGATCTGAGAGGATCTGAGGTTTGTTTGGTTTTTGGATTTTTTTTTTAAGAATCTTAACAGCTGGCTGATACTTTTGCTGAGTAGCAAAAATGTTATTCTGTCATTTGTGCACTTGTGAGCACACAAATATTCTTTGCTTTGTATTACAGGACACAAGTAATTGCAATTCTAATCAAATAGGAACCTTATCTATTGCTGTTTTGAGATGGATAAATCTAAGTAATATCTTTGGTTTTAGTGTTGACTCCATGGTACTAATTATTCAGCAGGTGAATTTGGTTTAGAAATGTATAAAAATCCTCAAGTCAAGGGCTTAAAAAACCTCTCATGTTAACATCACAGTATTTAACATAAGAATTAAATTGTATGTTGCATTCATCATGTCATGAATTTGTTTCTAAATATTACTTTTTGAATGTGCTTGATTTAATTACTCAAACATAGTTTTAGATTCAGACTAAAATTCCCTTTTGGGTGATTGAGCATGAAAATTCTGAAGCTTTCTACTCAACATCTAGGGGGAGAAAGATTGCATTTATATTGCCTGATGTTTAAAAAAGGAAAAAAGAAAAAAAATAGTGTGTAAAAAAAAAAAAAATTTAATATTGTATGTACACTGTAGATTGCTTTCCCTTGATGCTTGAAAATATTCCCCACCCCCATAATAAACATGGCTGTACATAAGTGCTATTTCACATTTTTTTAAGTGGCATTGACTAATATGAGATTGCTGTACCTTCTTCTCCTGTTCTTTTCACAGTGGGAGCCGTCTCGGAGGTCTTGTTACCGTGATGTGTTTCTTTTTCAACCATGGAGAGGTAGGTCTCCCTCTTCAACACCCCCCCACTTTTTTTTTTTTAATTTTTTTTTCTCATTTTTTTAAAGATAGTTATGCTTATCTGTTAGGGAATGAATTTAAAGGGAACAAGACAGTATTGAAAGCAAAATAGGCTATGACTTGAAAATGTATAGCACAGTACAATGTATCACCTTTAGATGTTAAAAACCAGCAAAATACTCTATTTTTGTGCCCATTACAGACATAACTGGGCTGGATGTAGCATAGGAACAAGCTTCAGAAATGGAGGAGGTTTTCTTTAAGTTTTGATGTATTTAACGATAATTAATTAATACACCAAAAAAAAGGCTAAAAAACCCTCAGTAGTATTGATATACTGTAGCTAGAAGACACAAAATTAGAAACTCTATGTATATAGAGAATTCCAATGCTAAACTTCTTTAGTAAGCTGCAGTACGGTGAGGGGAGCTGGGAAGAAACTGTCACTTAAAACATCTCCCTGTGTCACCAGCAAATGCTATTCATGTAATTGTTTCATATTTTGGAAGAAAAATAATGGGTTTTATTCTGATACCCTCGGGCAGTGTTTCTGGTTTTTTTAATGTTCATTTTATTTATATAAAGACTTCTTTTATTTTACTTAAAGTGCAGTTCTACTGCAAAGATTTTTTTAGATGGAAACTAGCTACCTTATGATTTTGTTAAGGGTTAAAGTTGTGCTTTGTTTTCTTATTTTACTGAGCTGTGCTTGGTAGAAAACTCTTGAGTAGTAAAAATAAGTTGTTGCACATAATAGAATCAAAGATGCTTCTATTCATAGTGAGCTTTGACAGTTTTCTTATATCACACAAATCTGTGTGATAAAATAGCTATTTTTTTCCTTTAAGTTTTATTTGAAGTGTTTTTCTCTAAATATCCTCCATGAAGAAATTTCCACCATGGATGTTAACTGCCTGGTTCAGACCAGGTAAACGTTACAGAGTTTCTGAACTTCTTTAGTGCTATAAGAGGCTAAATACAAAGTTCTGTGCGGGTTTCCATTCTTCTCAATGGCATTCTGAAAGTGAAGTGAATGTATTCTCCTTTGCTAGGAAATACTTACAGAGTATATACTGTTTTGCCAAGTCTGTGAAGGTGAAAAAGCGTAACTTCAGAGTGGAGTAAGTTGACAACTTCAAAGATAGTGGAAGCAATAATGAAAAGAAGTATTTATTTCAGGCATTTCTCCTATCCACAGGAAACTCTATGGGAGAGCTCATCTCACTCTCTGGATGGCTTGACTTGGGAAACAGTCATAGAGAATGTGTGTATTTTAGAGAATGGGGTGAAATTAGGTCTATGTAGCTCTACACAGACGTAGTCTGAATTTAGGTGGAGCTTAACTATGGTGACCCTGATTCAGAGTCTGCTGTATAGATTTTTCTGGAGAGCAATAGGACCTTACTTGCAGAGGTGCAGTGTTAGATCTCAGCTGGCTCTTTACATTTGTACTGTACCTAATGTAATAACTCATTATTGTGTATATAGAGTTATGCTAATATATGCAGTTACATGTACGTAGGTGGTCTATTTCACTGTGCGTACTGTTGACTCACATGCAGGGGTTGTGCATGTGCCCTTGTGTGTATAAAATCTATTTTATTTAACTTTTTTATATGCCTTTGATTGTGAAAATCATCTTGCATGTGCTTCAAAAATATGTACAGTGGAGCTAAAAATTTGCTTTCCTTTTCTGGAAGGACAGGATGGAGCTTCATGGGTAAGCCTCATCTGCAAGTCTGGGTATCTCAGATCTAATGCTGTGTAAAAGGGATTAACCTTCTGGCATTGAGCTGATGATGCTAAGGGAGTATGTTTTCATTTGTGCTGTGCTTGCGTTACTGTGTTTTAATGACTTCAAGCTTAGACATATCTGATGTATTTATACCTGTAGCAAAGTTAGTTTACAGCCTTGATAAATCATCCACTGATGATTTAGTATTACATTCCAAATATAGAAAAATAACATGGGCCACATTAGTCAATCCACTTTTAAGGTAATGCTTCCTTTTTACGGTTGTATATGCTTATTATTTCTTTCCAGTCTTTATCTCCTCCAGTGTCAAAAGATTTGGTAAATCAGCTGTTTCTGTAGTCTTGAAAAATAGTCAAAAGGACTCAGTGCTTTAGAATAATCACAATTATATTTATTGCTAATAAAAATAATTTTAACTAATCACGTCTGTGCAGTCAGCTGAAGGCAACGCATTAGTATACATATGAAAGCTTTATTTTAATGGTAACGAGAGTGCAGCTTTTACAGAGAGTGCTTTTAGACAGCAAAGACTGATTAATGTGGTGGGCTTCTGTACTTTGCGTTTACTTTACACTATTTCTGCACATTTATTTTGCGCTATTAATTTAACATATTTGTGAAATAGCAAGAAAATAAGCAAGGAATTGTATAGTGTTGATTCTGATTACTTCTTTGGTAAAACAGTGTTTTAAAAAATGGTTTTAAGATTATAGGAAGCAAAGAAGGAACATTCTAGCTTCAACCTCTTATAAGCTTTCATAGATTCATTATGGTCTATGTTAAGATGAACTGTCCTGTAGTTGTAAAGAACCTACTTTTAATTTTTAGTGCAAATCTATTGATAACCATTTTGAACCCATTTGTTTGTATTTCAGTGTTCTTCTGTAAAGTTGTAATTTTTTTTTGATGGTCACTGCCATCTGCAAGCATTTTGTAAAAAGCTGAATATAGACATTAGAGAGGACAGTTATAGCTGAGGAATTTGCCATGAGTCCCAAGAAATTAATGAAAAAGCTATTCAGTTGACTTCACTGTATTACACTTTGCTTTATTAGGGTTAAAGAGCGAAGTACATGTAAGAGCTTAATTTCACGTGTTCAGTTTTATTGGCCTGTTTTGGAGGGCAGCTTTGGATTTTATACTTTCTGTGCTATTGCTAGCGGAAATGTGAAATGTTTATAACCTAGAGAACTCTAGCATAATGAAGAGTATGTTGATTTATTCTTCAGATCCTCTCCCCACACACTTTCTCCTTCTGAGTGTGGCAAGTCACTGCCTGAATTTGAGAACACTTTGTTACCTGAATGAGTTGTTAATTTCAGTAGAAGCAGGGACAAGCGGCTGCTGTTGTAGCTTTTTTTCTTGGATGCTCTCTAGCTGCCACATTTAATTTTGGAAAATCAGTGATCTGTTTTAATTAAACAGTGCATCACAGACCTCAAGTCTGGAAGCTGCTTCCTTTTTCCTCCTCTTTTCTGCTTTCTGGCTTTTTTTCTTAAGTTTTTGAGTTAAATCTCATGTACCTTGTTTTTTGCTTCATTCAAGTATCTGTGGTAGTTCGTTTTGAAATACAAATGCATTGTTTAATGGAAATGTAACAGCAAATGTTATCATCTAACCCAGTTTTTCTTTTTAGTGCACTCGCGTCATGTGGACTCCACCTCTTCGTGAAAGTTTCTCATACCCATTCCTTGTGCTTCAGATGTTGCTTTTGACCTATATTCTCAGGTACCTCTCAATTCATATTTAGCTCTTTACAATAATTTAAAAAATAGAATGTCACAGGACATTTATTTAAATGCATTTATTTAAATAGTTATTTAATTGCCTCTGTGTGCTCTAGCAATGATATCATTAACATAGAAACTTTCCTGTGGCTGTTACATTACAGATGCTGCGCTGGTAGAACTGCAGTTGTATTACTCACTTACTAAAAGGAAAAAACTTGCCAACTCGAAGACATGATTAAAATAAAAATCAGAATTACTGTGTTGGCAAATGTGTATCTAAACTAAAAAATCAGAATTTTTGGTTGATGTCACTTCCTTCCCATGAGAAACAAGCTGATACTTCACCTATTGGTTTTGTCCCTCTTGGAGAGTGGTATGTTGGTTGCACGTAGAAGGAGCCTATGCTATGCAACAGAGGATGCTATAGGCACCCCTAAGCTAGTATGTTCTTGCAGTTTTCTGACTAATTAACTAGTCTAATTAGCTAGTTCAATGATTTAGAGCAATCTAATTACATTAATGCAGGAAT